GCGTTCCCTTATTAACATGAACACATCTTTTTTGTGGCTGGCAATAGTTCTATGTCCCTTACTAATTTGTCACCTTAATGAGTTTTGGATTAAACCGCTTAGTCTTGATAAACGGTTTTATGGGCTGTATAATCTTTAACCGTTATCCGTTTGGATAATTCTCTACAATCCAAATTTATAATTTTGTGACCATATCGTAGCGTGATTCGGGAAAGGTCTTTTTTCGCGTGATGTTCAACTGTTGATATCCGACCATCCACGTGTTGGAAGATATTGTCGCATCTTTCGATGTCTCTTATTAGTCGAGTTGAGCGCAAAAATCTGGAAAGTCAGATAAAATAGTTCTTTCTGTCCAGTTGAATCTTTACCATGTACATCCTACTCCCCTTGTTAGCTTCGGTCTACTCAGTCAGAAGTGGAAAACGATGTTTTAATCATATTAGTATGCCCTAATAAAATTTTTGGTAGAAGAGGTACATGATAACTAAAACTTAAATCTAGCACAGTTCACCTTTATGTTTATTGTGGTTATAAACGCTTTGTTTTGAAACTTAGAAAGTTATGATTTTTGGCAAATCATGATACACTGACTGAACGAATGAAGATAAAAATGTATAACATTTATTTAATAGTTGGATTCTTATAATATTTGAAAGTATTTGAATTATCGTATGAACTAGGAATCCTAGAATTAACACAATTGAATCAAGAAGTACGACCCAAGCACGAACAAATATATTATATTTAGAATTCGAAATCAAGCATACAACAAGTACAATTGAATCATTAGTTCATTCAAACACCACAATTCATCAGTCTTTTAGGAGGAAACTTGACGTATTCTTAAGGACTAAGGATAGCATCTTACTATCACTTACCAACTTTTTGTTCTTTTATCGGTAATACAACTAGGTTCCTGCCTGGAGGCATTGGTGATGCAGTGGCATTGGGCCTTAATCACATAATCCTCAAAGCTGGACGGGAGACACTTAAGAAAATAGATGTTCAACACTTAACACTGAGAAAAAACCAACGATGGAGAAGGCGGGAAGAATGAATTGAATTTATTCGAGTTGATCGGATGGCATGTTTCGACTTTGCAGGCGTGGTCTTTGATGAATGTTACCTTATATCTTTTATTCATATTAAATATATTGTTCTGTCTCTAGCCTAAGCCCGTTCTCCATGATGTATTGGTGATTGTTATGATGCAATGGGTTGGTGTAGACGATGACGCAACTTCCACGTAAGATCATATAGATTAGGCAGTTATATCATGACAAACCTACAATTTTAGGATGAGGTGTATTATTAGAGCAGTACTAATGTCATAGTAGACTATAATTCTACAGTGATCTATTGCTACTAGACACGGAAGCCCGTTAAGCGCAAGCGTCTTCTGTTCCGTCCATAACCATTTTGAACCATTTTTTACGAGTTGGTTTAAGCCAGACCACCCAGGAAAACCTGAAGTAACTGGACAGCCGTTTTGGTCTATCATGAGACTCCTCAGCAGTGCGTGTCCAGTATCCCGCACGCGGGATTCGATTACTGCACTGCTACTACGTTTTCCACAAACCCTCATTCTGATAATAACATTTGTTAACAACTTAAGTTACTTAAAGTATTAATAATCTCAAGAAAATGAAATTCGTCATACCTTTTAGTTTTTGCTCTGATAAGAAATTACTAGGATTCAGTGGAAAAAAAGAAAATGAGAAACGATAACTAGCATGTCCAAAACTTTGATACGAATACATTTATGTGTTCATGGTCTTTTCCTACCCCCAAAAGTCGGTTTATTCCTAGCTAACATAGTTCAGTTTGGATGGATTTAGAAATTCCCATATCATATAGTATAAGCAAAATATCCTTTTAGAATGCTTTCATGTGTATGTGTGTGCCTGTCTGTGAAAATCTCTTCAAGTATCTATTAATTATAACAGTAGCATGTAGTGTAGGGTCGGGTCGAGATTGACTATGAACACCACTACAAAGGAACGCGTGCCGGGATATCCATAAAATCCCCCGGAAGCCAAATATCAGAAGGCAGTTAATGGACCAAATCGAGATATATTCGCTGGCGATCTCGTGGTATCGAAAGAATACCGAGATCGTGCCAGGATACAAGCTTGATTACAGAGCGTAACCGAATTCGCGCGAGGTCACAATCAAAGTGAGTTTAATGGATGTTTTTAGCACAGTTAAACAAAAACACATTAAAACAGTCACTGGTACAGTTGGTTATAATAATAATTGTTTTCATTAAACCACTCGTGTTCTCGTGATAAATGTGAGTCACTACAAGCACTTTCCATTACTCTGAAAAGCAAGATTATTAATTTTGGCACATACAGTTGCATATTTCGTTTACCTGTTGGTAACAGAAAAGCTCTTTTAATTTATTTTATGAGCAAGTTTGATTTCCTTAATGTATCATCCCGTTTGTAAGGATTTTACGGACCGTAATGATTATGTATCTTTTGAAATCTGAATGTGAGGGCTGTGACATTACTCCTTTGGGTTCGGAATGATACTGCTTAAATTGACAGCTGGGATTACCGTTTACCGCTAGGTAAACAATCATAGACTTTGTGATGTCTTCCTCTCTTAACAAGTAACTAGTTTGTATTCTTCTTGCGCAGAAATACCAAATATATTTTCGACTTGATAAAACAACTTCGTTAACTAACTATGTAAGTTGTATAACCTAGTAACGCTATTTATTTAAGTATATGTGCATCATATTTATGATCTTTATGATTAAAACCGTGTCCAGTCCAAACATTAGGTTTTGCATTTGTCTGTAGGAAGGAAAAAGTATCTGGCGTTTCACTGGAGTTTATATCAAATACGAACAATTACTCTATACTCTCTGGATTCTATCTTAGCACAGGAGAACTGTGTGTACATATTATGGACACTAAGTCTGATGTACTGAAAAATGAAGAATACAATAATCATTATCAGCTAAACCAAAAGATGTGCTGAGTTATGATAATTCAATAAATATAGGAGCATATATGTCGCCGAGTTCAAAAATATTGATTGTAAGGAAGAAGAAAACTCACAGTTTTGTTTCCAGAGTATTCCATAATGCACTATTTAGTTGAAAAAGATGATTGGATAACGTGGGGTTTACAGTGTGGAGATACGACTGACAAGCTTATTTTGTAAATAGTTTTCAATGTTATTTCTATTTGTTTTGTCAATTTTTCACTGTATGTACATTTATCATTAAATGACTGTACGTGTTGTTTTAGTCAATGACCTTGAAGACTTTTTCCGCTGTAATTCGAACATAGCGTGACATATACTTACTGGCTAACAAATACATCACTACTCACACATCCCTCGTTCTATTTCCATTTGTGATTGAATTAGCTGAATTCTAAATCAAATATTATCATTATTTATAGACTGTAATTGGAATACATCACATTCTACGTGGGATTATATCACCAGAGAGTTCGCCAACCTGCTTGGAATTATCAAACATTTATAATTGTGGATGTACATTACCGGACATAATCAGAACACGCAGCGTTTGGTCAATTTAAGTAACGTCCCTAATTTTTAATTGTATTTGTAACAATTAACTGTATATATTAATATTACTATTAATCTTTAGTAACTTTGTTGATACTTTTGCGTTCATATTTGTCTGGTCCACCACAATTATTTGGTGAGCCTCGATTATTTTTTTATAGACATTTACTATATATATCTACATAATTTTTTTATTATTATTAATCGGCACGACACTATATTTTTGTTTTTGTCATTATGAACTCTCCGGGTAAACTTATTGATATTGATAGTTCTCCGACCAACCTTCTAAACTCTCCACAACCAGAGGATAATGTTTTACACTCAATCAACGCTATCTCGGAACTAAGATTACCAACGTATGGTGTTAATAATCCCAGGATCTGGTTTGCACAGGTTGAGGCATTATTTTTGTCGAGAGGTATACGCTCGCAAGCGACAAAATATGCATACATTGTCGGAGCATTACCCATAGAGGTGGCAGCAGAAGTCGGAGACCTGATAGATAACGTACCAGAAACAGACCCCTATGACAAAATAAAAGCCGCAGTAATCCACCGTACTTCGCAGTCTGATGAAAAACGCTTACAGCAACTACTCACCGCATGCGAGTTAGGTGACAAAAGACCTTCACAGTTGCTTAGACATATGAGACAACTAGCAGGTTCATGCAAGTTAGACGAAGCATTACTTAAGCAGATGTGGTTACAAAGGTTACCTTATAGCGTCAGACAAATTCTCAGCGTATCAGGAGCCTCTGTCAGTCTTGATGATTTAGGAGACATGGCCGATAGGATGATAGAAATATATCCCGATAGTCGGGGAATTTACGCAGTACAACCCGCCAGTAAAGATGCTATGAACCCTACTCTTGACATGCAGCATCAAATTGCACACTTAACACGTCAGCTAGCATCACTGCAGGCGACTATCTCCACCATCCGTTCTCGATGCCCCAGATCTAGGTCCAGAAGGAGATCATTATCCAGACATCGTCATAGGTCACCTAAGCGGGCAGCTGGGATGTGTTGGTATCATTCGAATTATGGCGAGAAAGCACGTCGTTGCACAAAACCGTGCAACTTCACTACAAGCAAGTCAGACCATCAGGGAAACGAAGTGGCCAGGCAGTAATAGCGGCAGCTGTTACTGGCCAACATGTCAGCCGCCTTTTCCACATCAGGGATCGTATTTCTGGCTCAGACTTTTTAGTCGATACGGGAGCAGAAATCAGCATCATCCCACTTTATCTCTCACGCAGACAACATACGATAAGCACTAAATTGTCCTTGGTAGCGGCTAACGAATCAGTTATCAAAACTTATGGAGAACAATCTCTTATATTAGATCTCGGGCTCCGTAGAAGACTCACATGGGTATTCATAGTTGCTGAAGTCAAACGACCCATTCTCGGGGCCGATTTTCTTAGTGCGTACAACCTTTTAGTTGATATGACCAACAAGAGATTAGTCGACATAAACACACGTTTACAGGTGAATTGTACACTCTCCAACGACAACGAGATCCATGGTGTTCGAATAATGAAACCTGTGAACAACATCTTCAACGACATTCTAACAGAATACCAGTGCATTACGAAATCCGATTACCAAGAGGAAGGTAACCCACAGCTGGTACAACACCATATCACTACCACCGGACCACCTATTAGCGCCAGGGCGAGGAGATTACCACCAAGCAAGTTGCAAGTAGCGAAAAGAGAATTCGAACACATGATGCAACTTGGTATTATCAGACCATCCAACAGCCCCTGGGCCTCGCCGTTACACATGGTACCTAAGAAGGACCAAGATTGGCGTCCGTGTGGTGACTATCGACGATTAAACAACCAAACCATCCCGGATAGGTATCCTATTCCACATATACATGACTTCGCGTTAAATTTACATGGTAAATGCATCTTCTCTAAACTCGACCTCGTGCGTGCATACCATCAAATTACAATGGCACCGGAAGACATTGAGAAAACAGCCATAATAACACCTTTTGGTTTGTTTGAGTTCCTAAGGATGCCATTCGGATTGAAAAACGCTGCGCAGACATTTCAACGATTCATGGATGATGTCACAAGAGGTTTAGACTTCGTATTTGCCTACATCGACGATGTTCTCATTGCAAGCTCATCTTTAGAAGAGCATATCCAGCATGTCCAGACCCTTTTTGAACGTTTTAAAAAACATGGCGTCGTCATCAATCCTTCGAAATGCATATTTGCAGTTCCAGCCTTAGAGTTTTTAGGACATTACATTGACTCTCAAGGCATCAAACCACTCCCAGAAAAGGTTGAAGCTATTACCAATTATCCCGAACCAACCTCGGTGAAGTCATTACGACGTTTCCTCGGTATGTGTAATTTTTATCGCCGCTTCTTACCACATTGTGCTGAAGTATTACAGCCATTAACCGATCGGTTGAAAACCGACAAAAAAGGTATGAAGAAAGAGAAGAGTCAGACATTCAACCTACCCCCTGACGCCAAAACAGCATTCGAGAAAGCAAAGTCGATGATAGCTAATGCCACCATGCTACAATATATAAATACTGACCCCACAACCCACTTAATTCTGTGTACCGATGCATCTCAAAAAGCAGTCGGGGCAGTATTACAACAACAGGTAAACAATATGACTACTCCCATAGCGTTTTTCTCCAAAAGACTGTCACCAGCCCAGGAACGCTATAGTACTTTTGGACGGGAGTTACTTGCTATCTACTTAGCCGTAAAACACTTTAACTTCTTACTACAAGGACGAACTTTTACCATCATGACCGATCACAAACCTTTATGTTACTCATTCCACACATCGTACGACCGACATTCACCTCGCGAAGCACGACAACTGGATTACATCTCCCAGTTTACGACAGATATCCAATTTGTCAAAGGACACACCAACGTCGTAGCTGACGCATTGTCACGTAAGGACGTAAATACCCTGTTACGTAAACAAGACATCGATCTAGAAACCATCGCAAAACTACAAGTAGGCGATGCAGATTTGAAGGTCTGCCAGGAGAAGTCCAACTTGAACCTTAAACCAGTACCCATCCCTTTCTCAAATACATCTATCATTTGCGATGTTTCAACGGGTAACAATCGCCCTTTCGTACCTCTAGCATGTCGTCGACAAGTATTTCGTCAACTGCATGACCTTTCTCATCCAGGAATCAGAGCCACAATCAAATTGATTACTGAGCGTTTTGTGTGGCCAAAAATCAATTCAGATATAAGACGATGGACGCGAGGCTGCCTACAATGCCAACGCAGCAAGATTCAGAAGCACACGATTAGTCCAGTTGGCAAGTATCCCCTGCCGGAAAAACGTTTTCAGCATATCCACTTAGACATAGTTGGTCCATTGCCACCATCTAATTCATTCACTCATATTCTCACTGCGGTGGACAGGTTCACAAGATGGGCCATAGCATGCCCTATTGCTGATACTTCTGCAGAAACAGTAGCCAGCGTATTCCTTGACCGTTGGATAGCAAATTACGGAGTACCTTCTATCGTCACTACCGATCGTGGTCCCCAGTTTCAGTCTATCTTATTTCAGGAATTCACAAGACTTCTGGGCGTGAACCACATCAAAACAACAGCCTACCACCCAGCAGCTAACGGCTTGGTCGAAAGATTTCACCGCCAATTGAAAAGCTCGCTGATGGCACAAGATGATACGACAAAATGGAGTGACGCATTACCACTTGTACTCCTGGGTATCCGTTCAACTATAAAGGAAGATATAGGTTGTACAGCCGCTGAGCTAGTTTACGGTACAACCCTTACATTACCAGGTCAACTAGTGGACCCAAACACTTTAACACCAACGGACCCAAGTCGTTTTGCTAGCCAACTGCTGCAAACCATGCAACGAATCAAAGCTATACCGCCTCGTGAACATAACAATCGAATACAACTCAACAGAAATCTAGAAACATGCAAGTTTGTCTTTGTTCGAGTTGATGCTGTTAAAAAGCCATTGAAACAACCTTATGAAGGACCATATCAAGTAATTAAAAGAACGACCAAACACTTCATAATCAACAAGTGTGGAAAGAAAGAGACTATCGCTATCGATAGAATAAAGCCTGCTTTCTACGAAGCACAACTTGACAAAGAACATACTATTTCACTGAACCAACCCCGTCCGGCAACCACCACTACAGCAGACATGGAAGAAAAACTGAGTATCAAACCTACTTGTTTAACGCGCTCAGGCAGAGCTGTTAAAAAACCCAAACGCTATGTACATTTCGCCGTATAAAAAAATCTAAACAAACAATTACTGATGTACTATACCATTATACTTACCCGATTTTCCCCAACAAAATCTATGATTTTTTTTTCCTTTTTTTTACAGTGTACATAATTAACCATATTTTTTTTCCCCACAATTATTCGTTTTGTTACTTTTTTTTTATAAAAAAAATTTGTTACAATAATAAACGAGTAAACTCTATTTAATTATTCATTTGTGGTACACACACACAAAAAAAAAATAAACAGTTCATTTTTTTTTGGGTTCAGTAACAGTTCTGTACATTAGTGTCATTGTTAGCAAACCAAGCTTTTAAATGACGGTATTCTCATTACTTTTGTTTGTCATGCTATGCCACATCACCGCTATTTTCACACGATAACACACTGTATATTATTAACGTACATGTCATACGCATCTCCACATTGTTTATTGGTTATTATTGTAAATATTAATTTTTTTTTGTATAAAATTTTTTATTATAGTTATTGTAACCAGTGTTACCTCCGGACACTCTGGGGGGAGCTATGTGGAGATACGACTGACAAGCTTATTTTGTAAATAGTTTTCAGTGTTATTTCTATTTGTTTTGTCAATTTTTCACTGTATGTACATTTATCATTAAATGACTGTACGTGTTGTTTTAGTCAATGACCTTGAAGACTTTTTCCGCTGTAATTCGAACATAGCGTGACATATACTTACTGGCTAACAAATACATCACTACTCACACATCCCTCGTTCTATTTCCATTTGTGATTGAATTAGCTGAATTCTAAATCAAATATTATCATTATTTATAGACTGTAATTGGAATACATCACATTCTACGTGGGATTATATCACCAGAGAGTTCGCCAACCTGCTTGGAATTATCAAACATTTATAATTGTGGATGTACATTACCGGACATAATCAGAACACGCAGCGTTTGGTCAATTTAAGTAACGTCCCTAATTTTTAATTGTATTTGTAACAATTAACTGTATATATATTAATATTACTATTAATCTTTAGTAACTTTGTTGATACTTTTGCGTTCATATTTGTCTGGTCCACCACAACAGATCGGCTATCTGAAGGAGGTAAATGTAGTACTTGTGCAAAATAATGATTAATTTGTATATGATTGACCGTGATTAAGTATTTCAGGTAAAATATAGTCATTTACTCCCATCTAGTTCTATCCGCCTTAAATTGCAATATTTGAGGAATTCTTAGTTAGTACATGAATTCGAATACTCCTCATTATCATACTGGCGGTGCCATGGAGTATTGCTTTGAGCGCCCGTGACTATACGATTCAGCACAACAGTGCCAAACACATTCAACATGCTGACTACATATCTCAACAAACATTACAAGATAAACCTGTTAATACTGAAGACTGTTTATTGGTTCAATTTCTACCTGTGAGACATCCAGATCCCATTAGAGAAACGGATCGATACTTTGGGTGTATACTCGGTGCAGTAAAAAAAAGCAGGACTGTCAATCTGAAACGTAGATTTTCAGTCTATTTTTCAGAGTCGGATAATTTATCCACTACTCCTGATAGTATTTTGTGTTTAAATGATCGGGTTTTTATTCCTCCTTCATTAAGTAAATCTGTCCTTGAAAATCTTCATAGTGGACATCTGGGAGTTGAGAATCTGAAATCAATCTCAGTAACGACATTTTGAATGGGCTTTCTCTGATAAACAGGAATCTGCTCTATGACGAATGAGACGACAACCGTAGCACTTGTTATTCTTGAACGAGCATAATTTTACAAAATGTCATTCATTGTAAATCGTTAGCATTATCGAATTACTCTTCCAGCATTGGTGGGGTTGTAGTGACGCAATTGGTTTAATGGAAAAAGTTATTGTAGCGACCGAACAACCAATATTCGGCTGTAACGACGGACTGACGAACCCAAAATTTATTCGATTAGACCAGACCACGTTCCTCTGTATAGCTCACAACGCGTTTTTGAGATACTCGTATTATATTATATCAAAACACAAACTCTGTGCTCAATATAAACGGTTCTAATTAAGAAAACAGAACAAATTACATCAAAAATACAAAATACCTCAAACGGTAAAGCCTGTGCTGTACAGTCAGAAGTTTCTCTAACGCGAAATAGCGCGCTAAACACTGAAAGAGACAGTTAATACTAAAGAGTTTTACACCTGAGAATCAATACAAATATTCCCAACAAGATTGGATCGAATATCTATCTGCAGGGATTGCAGCAATTCTCCCAAGTAGACAGAAGGTTAGCAGTCACAAACTGAACCACGCCGTGACCTTGAGCTTGGTCAAACACGACCTTACTGTCAATGGTCCGGCAACATGCAATAGAAAATTAGGTAACAAAAGATAAGTCTTTAATCAAAATCACATAATAAAGGCCCAAACGAGGAAGACTGAAGAACAAAAGATATGGTTAAACGAGATCGGAACTAGGGTTAGAATACACAAATAAATGAAAATACTGTTTAACAAAGAAGCTGCAGAGGGACTTTCATCGTTCTCTTTCCGTTACACTTATTTTATAACCAACTGTACCAGTGATTGTTTTACTGTACTTGTTTGTTTATCTGTACTAAAGACCTTCTTCCTTCCGTTGATTGTGACCTTGCACTCACGTTTACTCAGTGATTCCGCTTGTACTCCTTTGGCACGATCTCGGTATTCTTTAGATACCACGAGATCGCCAAAAAATCTATCTCGCTACAACCTTTAATCGCCTTCTGATACCTGGTATGCAACCTTCTTGTAGTGGTGATCATAATCAACCAGGACTCGACACCACGCTACAAGATAATCATCGGGTGGGGATCTAAATGTTTGAACGCTGGCAGCGAATGTTAGATAACAAGGACTATTTCCCCAAAATTCTAAATAATATTTAGATAATTAAAAGATTTGGGCATTTGACGTGGAGTATGTCTTCAAAACGACGAAACCAGAAATCAAATATGATTCCAGATTCAGGATCATAGTTCAGCTCATAAACGGAATTCGCGATGCTTTCATATTTATCTGATCGAGAGTTTGAGGTCGAATGAAATGAAATCTTCTGAATCAGTGCATCCAAAAGCTTCGTTTGATCTGCACCATTGAGCTTTCTAAATTTGTAGAATGGCTTTAAGATCGTACAAATATATAGACGTTTCATTTGCATCAGTCAAAATAACGGAATCTCCCGTAGCCACTTTTGTTACGTCCTTGATTTGTCTACCCAATAATATGCAGAAGATAACTTGTCTCAATGTGGATTGATACCTTGAAACGATAGGCTAACTGGTTTAATCTCGAGGCTAGAATGCGTGAATCTGGAGTGAAACTATCTGCCTTGCGTAGAAAGACGAGAATTACTCTACCACATGACTGGTTGACAAGCGAAAGCTAGAGAAAGAAGACGAGTAAAATGAAACACTACTCAATTTACTTTCTATTCCGGTCCAGATTAGTGCATAAGAAACATGAACAAATAAATAAACAACATGACCACAACGCACAAACAATTGGAAAGGTACAATTATGTCCAAAACTGGACACTAGGGTAGGAAAATAGCGTACCAAATGTTAAGTTTCAAATACAATGGCTTGGAACAGAAAAGGGTATGGTGGTGAATCATACATCAAAAGAAAGCTCATGGTTTGTGGAGCAAACTAGGAGCAAAACAAATATTATTGTTTTACAAACTCTAAAGTAAGTGGAACAACGCTTCTGTTGTTTGTCATGGCTTCTCCGTTTCGCTGTTCACACCCGGTCCCTACTTTATTACTGACCGATACTGTTTATTACTTTGCCGCATACACAGTCACTATCTGGTTGGATGGTCTGGTGTACAGGGATGTGTTCACTGCCATCAGGAACCCCTGTTCTAATGGTCAGGCAGAACATTTTGTCAGGACGCTGAAAACTGTTGTTAATGCAATTCCTGCTTCAACGTTCAATGAACTAGAGAGGAAAGTAGACAAGTTTCTGCTGCCCTAAAGAAAATCTAAACATTACATGACGAATGAGAACACATCAAGGTTATTAAAAGGAAGGATTCTTCGTTCAAATATGAGGTAGAGTTTGCAGAAGTTATGCATTATCGTGGACATAATCTTCGACCAGCCACGGGGATTGTGGAGAAGAATGTTGGTGAATCTATGCTTCGGATTCTAGATATCAATGACTCTGTAGTGACTCACATTTATCACGAGAACACGACTGGTTTGATAAAAACAATTATTATTATAACCAACTGTACCAGTGTTTGTTCTAATGTGCTTTTGTTTAACTGTGCTAATTATAGCCATTTTGTGCTTCCATTACCTTCCATCATTGTTTCGCGGTTTTTGGTACTGTTCGCACGCACTCCTTTCTCCTGCTTCCACTTGTACCATTCCTTGGCACGATCTCGGTATTCGTTCAATACCACGAGATCGCCAACGAAATAAACCTGGTTACGTTCTACTTTCGCCTTCTGACTTACTTGGCACGTGTTTCTTGGTAGCGGTGTTCATAGTTAACCTCAACTCGACGCCACGCTACAATTTTAACACACACAACTGACATGTTGATCAGATACAATTCAAGTCACCAGTTGAGTCGTTTCAAATTTCGGTTATTAATCCTAGTACCAATGAGTACATCATAGATTATATGGAGTCTATATCTAATGAACAGACAGGCGCATGATAAACATAAGGAGATAAAGTAAAATGGATTACAGAAATTCGGATCCCCAGTTAAGCTGTAGCGGTTGTGGAATTTGTACAAACTTGGTTGACTATTTATTACTCATTTCAAATACAGAAAGTTCATTTATGCCCATCTAGTTCTATTCACCTTAAATTGCAGTATTTCGAGAATTCTTAGTTTGTACATTAGTTCAAAAACCCTAAAGTATTCATAGTAAATCCTAAATTACCGTCCAATCTTCGTCTAGATGTAATGCTTAACCAATACCCTTCATGTAGTAGTGTCCATTAGAACTACCAATATAATTATCAGTATCTGTTGTTCGTCTAACCACCTAGTTCAGGGAGTTATATGTCACTGAGGTTAGATTTGGTAAGCAAATCAGCTGAAAATTAGATGTATACGTTTAGATAATTTGTAATTTTGTTTCGTACTAGCCATCGTTAAATTCCAACGAAGTCGTACACTTATCCTACCATGTGTTGCAAGAAAGACATGGAAGAAGCTGGATAACCAAATTTTTTCTCAGCGTCACGTGCATAAAGCTCGGAAAAAATTTGGTTTTACAGTTTCGAAACAACGTCTGGATTATTGAGTTAAACTTACTCTATATTAGCTTCAGAAATCCTAAGATATACACTAAAAGATTGACTCAAGAGAGATACTCTACCGTCGATTATGGTATTTCGCCCGAAAGGTCTTTCAGGAGTCATTTTCTGAACATTGCTTTGAGATTAAGAATATGTGTACATTGCAGACAATACGGTTCAATAGTCACCAAAAAGTAAGAAGGAAATTATTTTTTTATTATATTTCTGATCAAAATAAATGCGAAAGTCGTCATTCTATGATGCAATTATTTCTCGATGTCATTCTTGCACTTTACATTTTCTACTTGTTTTAATCCTCAAGCGAGGACTCAATTTTCTGTTATTTTTTAAAATATTTTTGGCAGTTCGCGCTTACATTGTGACAGGTTTGACACTTTGTTTTTCCTATTACTTCCCCGTTTTTTCACGTTTATGGATATAACAGTGGCTTTTGCACAGATTAGTTAATTGTTCACAAACGCGATCCTGATCGTTCGCTATGTGATATAACATTATCGTATGAAAAAGAGCAATATCAATATCATGATTTGTAGATAACTCCACAAAAGAGAGGATTTTTATGCTTATAACGAAAGCCACTCAGTTTTACAGATATCGCTCAGGTCATCATTCAAAAAGCATGTATGTGACACAAAATAGGTGGTTTATCGAAAAGTGCATCTGTTTGGTCGAAAATGTATTCTGATATTTTATCATGTTCATGGTGTAATGGGAATAACAATGCATAATTTTTATATGAATCCGAAATTAGAACTATTTTACGGGAACCTTTAGAATATTCCATTCAAACTTCGGGTAAGTGATGTTCACATGCATACCAGAAATGGAAATTAAAACAAGCACTAGTGAAGTAAAGAGAATATTTCCATAAAATAGGCCGAGATAAATTAAAAACACTCTAACAAAGTCTTCTTTTTTCATGCCATGAGGGGATAGTGATAAATTGGCACTTTTTGTCTCACTGGGTTTGAAATGTTACTGGAATTGCGTCAAACTGTTTACCTCTTGCTTAAATATACTCCAGATTTTTCAGGTTTTGCCTCTATTTACACAGAGGCTACGGAAAATTGCATGTTCCAAGACTGAATGTCTACTGTGTTCGCCAACAAACATTTAGACATTGTGGATTGTATTTAAAAAAAATATATTTGGTTAAAAACATTTAAGGAAAAAAACCCACAGTTTTCAAGAATAGTAATGAAATACGGTCGCTTTTTTCATATCTTTCTAAATCTAAAGTTCCACGTAGTTTCAACGTAGCACATGTGAAGGAAAATACTAATGCATAGACAATCAACGGTTTATTAGAGAGTTATGGTTCAAATATAAAGAATTCTATGAGATACTCCCCGTCAGAACTCGTCTATTGCTTTTCAGAATCATAAAAGCCATCCTATTGATTCTTACATTAAATAAACACTAACACTTATGACCGTGTTAAGCTTCTTTATTTTTTTGCCAACAACTGATACCATTAAGTGAGACTTACGGCGTTGATCATTGACATGAAACACTGCACCTATATAACAGCAGCCAAACGTTATTATTTCAAACTATTTCTCACATTATCTTCCTTCTTTTACGACGATTTAGAAGCTTATCTCTCATAGTGTAAACAATCTCGCGTTGCTATATCATACATATTCGCGAGGTCTTTTTTTGTGAAAGTTGGTAATAAAAATCAGAATGTTGGTGGGTCTAATAACTAAGACTTGAAAAAGATACCTGTAATTCTTACACTGCCGCAAAACCTGTACTTCTAAAATGTTTTTTTTTGATTAAGTGCCAAGTAGTTTTCAGTGGCTGGCCACTTCAGGTTTCATAACATAAGCCGAAATTAGCATGTTGAAGTTTTAGGATTATAATTCACTAATTGGATCAGTATGGTCTTGTAAAGTGTGAAATGATAACCCGATGAATTTAGAAAACTCACAAAATTGTCTCTGATACCTTATGCATCCGACGTTTGCACTTTATCTCTAGATGCAAACTTGACGACGCAATATCATAATTCCCTGAGTTATCACGCCCATCAGACTTAGACTCATACATGGTCTGCATAACGTTGACACTGAAGTTTCACATTGCCGATGACATATTTTGCCGGGTAGCGCAATGTATTGAAAATCTAAGGCATAGACATAAACGTTACTTGCTTATCATCAATCTCATTGCCAATAGACGTTGATGACTGCGTTTCTACTTGTGTAGAACCTATTTACAAACATGTATATATACAACACGCCGATTTTGTAATGGCTGCAAATCTCCTCTAGTATGATAGAATGTATGGCGAGAGGCGTATTTTTTATAGCAGTTTTTAGCACTGTTAGCATTTGGATAGACCTAATATAAATGCTTGAAAATACGAGTATTTAAATACTTTGCTGAAGTTAAAATGTCGTCACAACTTCAGTTATCTCCTTTAAATTACCAGGTATCACATAAGTCGATGGCCTAGAACATAATATTTGACGTTCTATTAAGGTCATTTTCAACTTCTTTATACTTCGGCAATAATAAGCGTTAGTTAAAAATTAATAAAGATACTAAAGGTGTCTCGACAGTTGGTTTTACATTTTCTTGAGGAACTCGTAATTGAAGATGTTCTTTATATTATGAACTCAGAAGATATTGCCACCAGAACACTTCAAGTACGCCCCTAAAAGACAATAATGAAGAGGAACAGCAAATGTTTAGAAAAAAGAATAGGAGTGAAGATGCTCACGAGACTACTAATATGATTAACTAGAGGAAGAAAATCTTGTCATGTGAGTTGTACTAGAGCGACAAACCTTTGCTGAGCGTTTATAAAACAACTAGTTATTTACAATTTGTGTTAAGCAATTTTACAGAGACTTCTAGAAGCCCACAATAATTAGTAATGGATTTTGCTTTCTAATTCAGTTGGATAAATTTGTCTTTTGAATAGACAGTAATTATCTTATGAGAGTTGGACAATACTAGGTTGTCGAGGGTTTGTTTTACTAGCTCCAAGTGCAAAATAATTTAAAAATGAGTTATTATTAGGTTTGTACATTATGATAAAGATTCACAAGTTTCGATGGGTCGAAATTCTGCCAGAAGGTTCACTAATCGATTACAAACATGAAGATAACATAGTAAAAAATCTGTCGAAAAAATGCAGTCTTCCGATCAACTTAAAGAACAATGGAAGCATGTTTGAGATGCATTTTTTTAGCTCTGAATGCAAAATGTTGCCTCAGTACTAGTCTGCGTCAACACTTAAACTAATGATAGGGAGCAAAGTGACTGAATGCTTGAACTACTTCACTCCTCTTGAAAGTCTAACCAGTTCTGGCGGATTTGTGTTCAACAAATAATCGTGGGAGTAATTTTGAGGCTAGGCATATGTTACTGGACAAAATTTGCAAATTGTTTGGTAAGGTTATCCATCTTCGTTGATTGTGGTGGTTAAGATGTATTTTGCATACTCCTGAACACCACCTAATTCAAGGGTAGAGCAGGTCAGACAAAGGCCAGAAGCTGCCAAAACAAAAAGTAGCATCAGTTCATGAAGCTTCTGATTGTTGATGTGAGTTATACCGGTAGGTGCAGACTATCTAGTTGGGATCTTTGTGATATTGGGGGTCAGTGCCTCCAGATTTTGAGCTAAATTGGTCGGAATCAGTCACAATAACACAGATGCACTCATTTTTTATCTTTTTTTCTATCCTGAATTCCACTGTTCTCTGACACACTCCTTTTTACACTGTCCTTTCAGGCTGTCATCAATACTTAACAATTCTCGTTATCACGGCTGTCACATCATTTCTGTTTCTTTTGATATTCTTCTTGCCGGATTTATTTCTTTGTGCTGATTTTGTATAACAGCCCTAATCAGGCTAAATACGTATAGTGATTGACTGACTGAAATTTAGTTGGTAGACGAAAGTGTAATATGGGTCAGAGGACAACCAGGTTTCTGATATGCATAACGTACTAAGTGCTTTTGTTTACAATCTTTTGAAGTCATCATAAGTGTCAGTTTATTATACACAAAGGTGATTCATGACTATCAAACAATCTGGAAGTTTTTCAAGTAGAGGGAAGAAATTGAACTTAATGCTAAATTACTATCAAAACTATATATGCTCATTGTTTACTTTTGTCACTGTTAAATCATGTCGGTACATCTTAAATGTATCTTAGAGGAATCCACAGTTTGTTAGCCATTTTCAAAAAGTAGCCTCTGGAGATTTGATAATAAACCAGGACCAAAATATCAATAGTTTTTGCAAGCAGTTTTGATTGAAAGCACTGTGACGTCTTATTGATTGTTTATTATTTTGCTATAATAATATGTCTAAGTTTGAATGAAAATCAATAAAAGGCACCTGATAATTTATGTATATGGGTCGTTGAATGTTCAGTGTCTTACATTTTACATCTGTCTTCTTTTTCAGCAAAGACTGTGCACTGCAATTAAACCAAACAAAAGACGTAAATCCCCACTTAATACTCAAATGGTTTGCCAATGATCTGATGAATGACAATTTCAATTTAACAGAATCAACAGAGTTGCCTTCTCAGGTTAGTTCTAATATACGAGGTTTATGAATACATCTCAAAATATCCAGTGATATTTCTCAAAAGCTTAAAAAATGCTTGAAAACGGTTTTTTATCTCGTTATGATGATGTAATACAACACCTTGCTCCAACGTTCATCATTCTCAGACATTACGCTCATGATTGCAAACTAACTTGAGAATCTACGATGCTAAGTATTTATCACTGGTTTTCGATGTCTACCTAGCTAATTCAACAAAATATTGGGTTCCATTTGAATAACTTACTTACACCTGTCACTCCTCGTGAAGGAGCATAGACCGCCCACCAATATTCTCCATCCAGCCCTGTCCTGGGCAATTGTTTCCAGCTCTTTCCAGTTTTTATTCATCCTTTTCATATATGATTCTATTTCCCGACGTAATGTGTTCTTCGGCCTTCCTTTTTTCCGCTTCCCTTCAGGATTCCGAGTTAGGGCTTGTCTAGTGATGCAGTTTGATGATTTGCGTTATGTGTGTCCTATCCATTTCCATCGTCTTTTCCTAATTTCCTTCTCAGCTGGAAGCTGATTTGTTCTCTCCCACAGTTGGCTGTCACTGATGGTATCCGGCCAATGTATGTTGAGTATCTTGCATAGACAACTACTCATAAATACTTGTATCTTCTTGATGGTGGTTGTAGTATTCTTCAAGTTTCAGCTCCGTACAGTAGAACTGCCTTGATGTTCGTATTGAAGATTCTCACTTTGATATTGGTTGAAAGTTGTTTTGAGTTCCATATGTTCTTCAATTGAGGGAATGTGGCCCTTGCTTTGCCAATCTTCGCCTTTACGTCTGCATCCGAACCTCCTTGTTCATCGATGATGCTTCCCAGGTATGTGAAGGATTCTACATCCTCCAGAGTTTCGCCATAAAGAGTGAGTGGGTTGGTGTTCTCCGTGTTGTATTTGAGGACTTTGGTTTTCCCCTTGTGTATGTTGAGGCCTACTGATGCAGTGACTGCTGTTACATGAGTTGTCTTCATCTCATTTGTTGATGTGTATGGGATAGGAGGGCTAGGTCATCTGCGAAGTCCAAATCGTCTAATTGGTTCTGAGCTGTTCATTGTATCCCATTTGAATAAGCGTTTATTATATTTATATATATGAAAATGGATTAATTTGATGATTTATTCTAGGATACCTAGCTGTACAAACTTCCAAACTCCATTTGTCTTTTTTAAACAATGATGAATGGACTTATCTTTTAGAGATGAGAAAAATTGTACTCAGTGATACAAGGTAGCCGTCCTGGACTTCACTTTAAGTTAATGTGAATGAATTTTGAGACATCATTAATATCTTTGATTTGTTTTGAAATGTTATAGCAAAGACTGAATAAATGATATAAATTAGGTATATGTAGACCTCTGGAGAAATGTTTGAAAATATAGGTCTTTACGTTCAACTAGTATTATTTTGTTTTTAGAAAATTTCACTCAGAAAATCCAGTTCCTTGTATGCCTTAAGTTAAAAGTCATCGACTTCATTGGTAGATGGTGCGCCCATATATAATTGCTCTGAGTCTTTCGTTCACACCATTAATACTTTAGTATGGCTCTTCAAAGCATGGGGTAACTTGATTTATGTAACTTTTAATTCCCTTAAGTGAAGCAGGGCTAGAAATAACACAGAACACACGATATATATATATATATAGTCATTAAAAGTCATTTTAATATATGAAACATCTTTTTAATATTTTCATCCTGCTTTTACTATATTTTATGTGTCATATGTTTACTAATTTTATTACTCTTCGTTCTTTAGTTTGATTACTATGACATTCTCTCTGAAAAAAACAGAAATTTGACCAGTTTGACATTAACTAAACCCGAAACAATGTAAGCGTATGCATTTATTTACATTTTGATTAACGATAATGTTATTTATAATGCTTATTTTCTTAAAGGCATATTGACAATGTCACCTTATGAGGAACTTCACCAAAATTCTTGCAAACAATTTTTTACAACTGTTTTGAAAGTAAAACTAAGATGAACCAATAGGACTGACAACAGTCCTGTAAGGTGGTTTCGGTGACGAATTTAAGTAAGAAAGCACTGAAACTCTTAGTATCTTAGACAACTACTCTGTTTATTTGAGAATTTCTCACTGGTAGACTCTTGTCGTCGAGTACACTTTAGACTACCTAAAGATGCTTTACATTACTAAAGTTTCTAGCTTAATTCAAACAGTCACATTCACAAAATTACTTTCAATGTTATCAATGTTAAATTGCGGGAGAATAAGTATCTCTAAAAGTGATTGTTTTATGGAAGGTCATGGTATTTTGAACAATTCATTTATCAAAATTTATGTGTATATTTCTTATGGTAGTATTGTCAAATTTTAAAGAAGTTAATCCCTACGATTCAGACCAAAAAAGTTAGCCAAGCATACCTTAACGTATGTTACTTTAGTAACTAGGTATTATCTAATTTGTTTTTTGTCAAATTGAATTTGTCTCTACAGGTTCATTTAGATAAACACTAAGGGATAGGCTCATTTCATACTGTTTTAACCTAAAAATAGTATAGAGCAGTAAATCAGTCACTGGAGAGTTTCAACTTTAGGCACTAAATGGCACGTTCAAACCCCACCCACCTTCTTTGATTTTCATGATCAGACAGTTTTGCTACCCCCTATACTCGAAGTGTGGTTCAAAGCTAAAAAGACAAATCTGTACCTGGTAAATGAGTTATTCAGAAAAACTTTAAGAATGTGTGGAAGCCATATGTTTAAGCAGGAATAAGCATAGACTAATAAGTCACATTACTTATAGTTACCTTTACTTCACATGTTTATTTAAATATAATTGGATGCATGGAATTAGAAATGCTAATTTACAGCTATATTTACATTGATTTCAGAATATAAATGAGTTAGGCATCAAACAGAATTCACATTTGATTCGTTCGTTTTAAAAAATATTAGGTTTGATTTTCATTCTATCTAGAATTTGTCGGGAAGATGCATCTTAAGCCTCTAAATAATATCATTGTTCTTATTTAGATTCGAGTTGTTTGGTTTGTTCTCTCCCACAGAAGGCTATTGCTGATGGTATCCGGCCAATGGATGTTGAGTATCTTGCGTAGACAGTTTAATTTTTTTTGGTTTTTTCCATTCCAAAACTTTTAATTTTTGTAATTTTTTCTTAAGGCCTTTCCCTTGCCTTTTCCCGTTTCTCTTTGTTTTCTTTGTGTTTTTTAAAAGAGATTATTTTTTTTCTTATTTGTTTGGTGGTCTTTTTTTTTTTTTTTTTTTTTTTTTTTTTTTTTTTTTTTTTTTTTTTTTTTGGTGATCTGAAGCTACGTCAGCACCTCTCCTGGTTCTCACATCTTCCATTGTCCTTCGGAATTTTTTGTTGATGCAAATATGATCTATTTGGTTCTCTGTAGTGTGGTCCGGTGAGATCCATGTAGCCTTGTGTATACGCTTGTGTGGAAATATTGTGCCTCCTATGACCAATTTGTTGAATGCACATAGATTTGCAAATCTTTCTCCATTTTCGTTTCTTTCTCCCAGTCCATGTCGTCCCATAATATCTTCATATCCAGTGTTGTCTATTCCGACTTTGGCATTTAGATCTCCCATCAGAATAGTTAGGTCCTTTCTTGGGCATTTCTCAATGATTGACTGCAGCCGCTCGTAGAACTGATCTTTAATTTCGTCGTTGCTATCATTGGTGGGTGCATAACATTGGATAATATTTTTTGATCCCCTCCTTCTTTGTTTTGAATGATGCTTTGATGATTCTGGATCCGTGAGATTCCCATCCTACAAGTGCATTTCGTGCTACTTTGGACAGCATAAGAGCGACTCCCTGAGTGTGTGGAGCATTGTCCTCTTCGTGACCGGAGTATAGCAGCATCTCTCCCGTAGCTAGCCTTTTCTGTCCAGCTTGGGTCCAGTGGGTTTCGCTGATTCCCAGTACTGCTAAGTTGTATCTCCTCATTTCCATTGCTATTTGATGGTCTTCCCGGTTCCCACATTGTTCGAACGTTCCATGTACCTATAAAAATTTTTGCTCTGGTTGTTAGAAGGGGCATCGGCCTCGTGGCTTCCGAAGGAACTCGGCTTTCACCATGAAGCGTCATAATTCTTCTAAATGAAGACCTTCTAACTCCCAGGGCAGAGTTAAAATGGTTTGGATTATTTTTTCTGGTAAGCGTTTTTTTAGCGAGTTAGTTTTCTACGGGGGGGACGCTAACCCCATGCCCAACCCTCCTCCTTTACCCGGGCTTGGGACCGGCAGCAACCCTATAATAGCTACAGGCGGAGTTGATTTTGAAATAAGATTACAATAAATTCTAGATTAGTAACAGGTTGTTTTAGAGGAAATAGGGATGTGAACGAGAACACAGGTGATGAGAATCGATTGTATACAGAATCTCTTGCTAAAATATGAGGACCATACACTGAATACTTCATTTGCAAATTTCCATCATTTGTCCTTCACTTCTGTATGGTTCTTTTAGTTCACAATTCTTTTATATTTTCCCTTCTACTCTCCTCAACTCGATCTTCTTAGCCTTCTGCTGCCAAGTTTTCCACTGTCAATTAGTGTTAAATACTACTTATGTCAACAGACATAGGTAACATATATCACAATACTACTAATGAATTGCTACAGGGAAATTAAGTGGTGATGAATGACTGTATTGTATCGGTTTAAGGAGCTTCAGAAGTTCATATAATTGAAATTTTCTTCAGCTATTATCAAGAACTTAAGATTTATTGTCAAGCAGTGTAAATATCGAGCTTAGGTTTAATGTCATTTAAGTTTATAATGTTCCTGTCCATAGAGGTCTTAATACGGTGTTTGTATGTATTATTGCCAATAATGTATTACGAATTTATTTTATTTTTGATTATTACCGGTAATTTTATTAAGAAAAGCTTCAAGTTAACAAAGCTATAATGCATATGTGATTTAGTCTTTCACTCCAATGTCTTGTAGTAACAATTTGATTGTTATTGATTATAAGGTTAGTCATTCTTGCTTTCTGGTTAGAAAACCCCCAAAATTTAAACTTTACCAAGATTTGCAGATATTTTCTGATCAATTATTTTGCTGAATCATTTATGTGCATGAATGTAGCAATTATCGAAGCCCATATGTTCATTCGTGATTCGAATGTTCAATTCAACACAGTGTGTAATTTTATCTCTATGAGTGTATGTGTGATAAAATATTTATTGGACAATTGGCCTTATTTATATGTATCCATATGTTGTAAATCAGACATTTAACTATCAAATATACTGTCCTTTATTATGAAGTATTTATATTGTAATTCCGTGGTTAGAGAAGATAAAAAGGGTATTTTTATTCCTTTCAACTTCACTCTGTCTACTTGATATTGTTCATTTAGTATTATTTATAATACGTTTGCGGAGAATTTGCACAATTTTGATGGCACTTTTTTTTAACAAACTGTAATTGGTTGGAGGACCGTTGTAAATCATATGGGTCTTGTGTTTTGTTCGATTTCGCGTGAGGTCTTGAGTGCGGAATACTGATAAGTCCTAAAGTAGAACAAATAAAACCTCGAAAATTTCTCATTAGAATAACACGACAGCAAAAATATGATAACATCTATAGAGCATGATTCTAAGTATTCAATGAATTTAGTCGTTACTAGAGTAAAATCATAGTACCTACTTACTTTGCATCGAAAAAATTGACTAGTGACAACTGAAAACTTGATTGATGCACACTAATTTAGCTTTCTACTTAATCTCATGTTGTGCTCATTAGTAATGATCTAATTACATTGAGGTTAGGTTGTAGTAAAAGAAAACTAAAGATTTACAAGTTGGCTAAGTCAATGAAGTTAGAATTCCAAATAGGTACTGAAGGTTTGTTTTATGCTGTAAAAGTTTCTATACTGGTTGCTACACATCTTAAATTCTTGGGATGCTCTTAGACATTATGGGAAAATATAAGATTTTAAAAGAAGCGCATAATTATAATATTACTGAAAAGGTGTGATAAATTAAAAGATGTTTTATTTAATGATTTGTAACCGAATTAAAAAAGAAAGTAGTTGTCGAAATGAAGATAATTTTGAGCATTGTTAGTTTGCAAATAAATACATGTTATGAGGATATGATAGAGAAAATTTTATGGTACATTCAACACATAAATTCTACACAAATCGTTACTAAATTGAAATTTCAGTTATAGGTCATGTTTTAATGTGATATTCATTTATGTAATCACTCAGAAGTCAATATATGATAAAAGGATATGAAACGGTGAGTTGTTTTGCTATCGACTTGTGGATCATCCGAAATCTACTTCATTATAAAGACCAAGCGGAACTTTTAAAATTATGTTGTCAATTTGTGTTTATTAAGTATAAGCTGTGAAAGGAAAAATTAACAACTAATTTGGTTAAAGCATTGTATTATACTTTTAGTCTAATATAAAATAGTTGCTATTCATTAACAGTTTATATGAGCAGCTTAAACTGTTAGAACGGAAACATTGGACTCGTAAAAGTGACTGTTACAGGTATGAGATTTCACTGGGTATAGAGTGCAATAATCAATTTTTAGAAAAATTAGCACTTGTTTGCTGCAATACACATTTAACATCATTCAATTGGCTTAACAAACTTTAAAAAAGTATCATAAAACGCTATGTTAAAAATATATTTGGACTTATTATGTATATTTCTAAATGTAGTTTTACGTAGAATCTTACGAACTACGTGAAATATAGTACATTTCAATATATAAATAATGATGTAGTTATCAATGTAAAAGGGTATAGAGTTTATTACTTTAAATAAAAATTTATTACCAATGAATTTTCTTCAAACTATATAGAGAA